GAAGAACTGAGAAAATAAAAATATTCAAACTAGAATTGGTAAAAATTAAAGGCATTTATGGAAAAATAAATTATGTGCAGATCACCCAAATGCATTTTGGAATCGTAAACAACACATAAGTAGATTACCTGCTAATGAAAAGGATTTTGATGAAAAAGTCCATTAACAGACTAAAGCTCGACCTTAATTCAATATTTGAGCCCTGAACTCATAACCCATTGTAAAAAAGAAATTCAGGATTTTTGGAAAATAAAAAATTAATTAGTAAAATTCTAGAAGTTCCGTGGTCCTTGTGCACGGCTTTTTTATGTTTATAAAAAATGCTGAAATAGAAAGAGGAGTCCCTCGATTAGTAGTTAAATTATAAAACACTGAATAACAGCCTTAAAATGGCATAAGGTAATACCATTACCCAATAAGAGGATTTTAAATTAAAACAATTATATCTAGGCAAATATTTTTAGTAAATTTGATATGAAATCTGGGGGTTATTGGCAGATCATGATTCATCCTAGATGATAGATATAGAAACAGCACTTTACAGTTTCCCGTTCGGTCAATATTGAATGGAATGTAAATGCCCTTTTGGATTAAAAAATGCTCCTTCTGAGTTTTTCAGAGGATCATGAATAGATATATTTAATCCCGCATAGTGAATTTTGTATAGTATAGATTGATGATGTTCTAGTTTTTAGTAGAACATGTAGAAGGAATCATTTTAAACACTTAAAAAACAGTTTTGCAATGGTAATTGAAATGATGGAATTACAGCATTGAGTTAAAACTAAAATGGATCTTATTTAAAACTAAAGTTAGGTTTTTTGGGTCATTAGATAGAAACAGGGTAATTATCCACCCATAGAACGAGCCTTTATGGTATTTTGGGTCCCAAGTTCCCTTGATGAGTTTAACTGAATTAAAAACCCAACTTCAACGTTTTCTTGGTATGTTTTAAACTATGTTATAGATTTTTATCCAAACTGAAAATCTGCATGATAAAACCAATTACATGATAGGCCTTTAAGAAAAATACTGGCCCATGGACATGCCCAGCATACCCAACTACAAGTAAAAAAGATAAAGCCTTTAGTCCCAAAGAATTCCATATCTTTATATCCTCATTTCCAACAGCAATTCCAAAGATAAGTTGAAACTGTGCTTCCAGATGTTGGATACTGGTCGGTATTTTAAAAAAGTAATTAATGTGTAAAGAAAAACGGATTATTTCAGTATACGTCTTGGTCATTGGAACCAAACTCAAAATAAAATTTTCTACTATTAAAAAGGAGATTTTTAAGTATAGTAATTTGCCATCAATTAAATTCCAAAATCTGATTTTATTAAAGTCAAAAATTTTTTACTTCGTATTGATTGGTAAATTGTAAATCTGCAAAAGATGTTTTACAAAAAGATGTAAAAAATCTGGCTTCTAAACAAATTTTTGCTAGATGGCAAGCTTTACTTAGTATATTTGAAAATTTTGCATAAAGAAAAAGATAAAATTATATTATCATCATCACCTTCATCATCACCTTAACCCATGAAAAACTAACTACAGCTAATAAATCTAAATTAGAAATTCTTGGTGATTTATGGTATCAGAGCCTAACGATTTGAGTATTGGTTACAATCACCCAATAAAGTATTAATTTTATAATATATTAATGAAGCTTTCAGCTTTGCCCACTGAGCCGATAACAACTTAGTCAATCCCCTGAAGTGTTAAAGGCGTTACAAAGTATAGCGTCCTCTTCCACAGAGGCGCCAGGTATGTCTTCTACACCTAAAGCGATCGGACCCGTTCATGGTACGGCTAGTCTGTCTTAAAACGATAAACAGTAACTATTTTTTGAAAAGAATCTAAACAGTACTTGTCTAAGTATTGATATATAGGCTGGAAACCCAGGATTGCGGGCTACTGGTCCAAAGGACTATTTAATTAGTCATATCATTGGTATAATAACGC